ATTACTTTAGCAACACATTCATCACAGGAAGTGTAGCAAAAGTCAAGGCCGCAGATTCGTCGATTTATACTGCCACAGAGCAGATTCGTGAAGTTGTAATGACTAATTTGAGAGGTTGTAATAACCAAGTTGCAGTTGTAATGGAAAATATATTTAAAAAATCTATATTTTTCTGCAAGTGAACATTTAATCAAAAAAATTCTACAAGCTACAACACTTTTTTCTTTCTTTCTGTGACTTCAAATTTGGTTCACAGACACGTGGATATTTGATACAAGTGTAAATGTCTGCACACAAGCTCAGATTTTTTTTCTGCAAATGCTCACATCAGGTTTTACAAGCTCTCGCATTTTGCACCATATCTACCGTCATACTCGCGCGCTGAGTTTAAGGTGAACGCGGCAAAAGGGCAATACTGGCGAGCTAAGTCTAATAATAAAACACTACGTTGAAGTTGAACTCTGACCTGTAAATCCACCGTTGCCTGCGGCACCATGGATGTAGGCCTATAATAAGAACTGGATACAGCGTGGGAGACGGGGCCTCTTCATTCCTATGAGAGTTGCTCATTGGCGCATGAAGACAAAATGGCCCAACTTTTGAGAGAGCGAAACGTCACGAAAGTATTTATATAATGCGTTGTTATTGTGCATCCATGGGTAAAGGTAAAACTCATGTACTACTGAACACGTCACAGGAACGTGCCGGGCGGCGGGTTGGATCTGCGTTCATAATACTGAGGAAAATAACTCTCATATCCTAACGTCAATAGCACATTTTTGGAGAAGGGTCCAGCTGCAGGAAGTTGTACTTCCAAAATATGGTCAGAAGAGAGCGCGCCCAACACGTGAGACGCTGACGCAAGGATATTTAACACACATGGAGGTTTACAGAGAACAGACAATATGGCGCACCGAGCTCAGCTATATGCCATACATTTTTGCATACATTCACAGTAAATATTGATTCAGTATGATAGCTGTCTAACAGAAGTTAAATTAATTTCTCACTTATTCTGACAATGTTCTTAACCCCAAATAAAAGAACCCAATAAAAGAGTTGTTAAATAATAGTGAAGTCACGTTGTAATAACAATAACTCATCTCTTTCGAGTTTTCTTTTTGTGCTTTGCCAAAAGCCACTGTGTCAGCTGTCCTACTTGGGTTGCCGTATGGTTGTCAAATATGACGGACCATCTCGCACATGCGCACTGCAGATAGGGCAGGGCTGCAGATCGGGTAGTGACAGTCACTACCCGTACTGCAGCCCTGCTTTTTACAGCGCTACGGCTTCCACAGATGACATTGATTTTTGTATGTATTTATTGTCAAGGCATTTAATATATTCATTGCTATCAGGATGTTAAGAGCATTCCACGGAATATAATAAAAAGTGTTTTTGAAATAAATTTGATTGGTCATGCTTTTTACATCGCTACGGCTTCCACAGATGACATTTCTTTTTTAAATTTTGTTAAGCACTTAAGATATTCATTGCTATCGGGATGTTAAGAGCATTCCATGGAATATAACAAAAAGTGTATCTCGAGCCGGTTTCTCAAACTTACCTACAACAACATACACAATCAGATTACACCACTTAAGTGCCCTATAAATAACATTATCTTAAAATATAGGGGAAATGATATTAGTAATGTTATATATATATATAATTATTATGCTATTTGAATGGTATTCGTGACATTAAAAAACTGGAATTAACTTGTTAAAAAACAAGAAGAAAGCTATATTTCATCATCTGTACCGACTGATCTCAAATATTGCTTTTTGTGATAGTGGGTAGATTTTGCATTGCACATTTCCATGTAATATGTTTTGAAGTGGTCCTGAGAGAATGGTATTGAAAGTGATGGGCAGCCACAGGTAATGTGTTTGAGGAACTTGATAATTATGTCACCCTTTGTTTTTATCTATTTTATATTGTACATGGACATGTACTAAGGCTTTTTTAGATTTGATTCTAGTCAACACATTTTTTTATGTAAAGTATTTGTATTATATTTCAATTTGCTGTTGTTGTAGTATGTAGAGGTTTGTATATACTGTACAATATTACTAAATGAAAATACATAATGTTTAAAAATGAGAATAAGTGAAATTTCAAATGGTTTATCTATAAATATAAAAATATAGACATGTCATGTTAATATGAGGGATATCAGAATCAGGAGATAAGTGTTGTGCTGCCTTGTGTCTTAGACTTGAAAACATAGAACAGAATACAATTTAGTGTTCACACTCACTTTGAATATGTAAAAGTCTTTATTGAAATCTACAGGGGAAAAAATGGCAGTTTGAGAGTATTACAAATCAGGTTTGCAAAGAATTGGATATTTATTAGAAAAAAAAATTTCTGGAATAAAATTGACAGATTGTAAAATACAAAGAACATTCAGGCCTATATTTTTTTTATGTTAGCAGCTGGCAACACTAATGATCATTCTGAATTGACCATCACACAACCATCACATACAATGCACAAGTGATATTTTGGGTATACTTTTTTACATGCAAAAAGTTAATACACACAATGCCTTTTCAATCTCACATTCATGCTTAGAAATCAACAACAAAAATAAAGACATGACCGGACATGACATGATTAAAACTTTTAACTATTAGTTTTTTTACATCATGATTAATAAACCATTCCAGTCATCGAGCAATCATACTATTATTTTGCATCTGATTTGTCAGTAGCAGTGGAGGGGAAAAGGAGTGTATATGCTGGAGGAGCTTCATCCGATTGACCCAGGAAGTCTGTGTTCATCAGGTTGTACGATGGAGCCGTTGGGGATACATTGAAGGGTGAAAAAGAAGGGGGTGGGTTGATCGCTGGGAGAGATGGGGTTGGGTTGTTCGCTGGGAGAGATGGGGCTGGGTGGATCGCTGGGGCAGCTGGGGGTGTTTGAAATGTTGGGGCAGCTGGCGGAGGGTGAATCACAGAAGATGAAAATGGAGTTCCATACGGAAAAGGTATCTCAGGCACTTGGTTGTTGTAGGCCCCACTCACATGTGCAGGCTGAGCAGGGTAGACACTTGGTGGACAAGGAAACACCATTGGGTTACCTGGGTACACAGGTGGTGGTGGTGGTGGTGCTGAATACATTGGGGCTCCTGGGTTTCCAGACCTGCCTGAGGATGGGGAGACAGGATAAGGATGCCTGGACACTACAGGGGGAGGAATGTCGCTGTTGCTTGGGCCCCCAACAGCTCCCGCTGGGTAAGGACCTGCATCCACACCAGGCTGAGGGACAGGAGCAAAGCCTAAAGGAACAACGACCACTGGGAAGAGGACCTCTGGATCGAAGGCAAAGCTGATGTCCAGATACACCTAAGAAAAATATAACAGCTTGATTAGGACTTAATTGACAATTTCTTAAGGCAGCTTGTTATTATTTACAATAAAGATACACTGTTGCCTACCTTTAAATGATATTCCACTGAGAGGATGTCACAATTCTGGATAGTGTCTGATCGAGAGGAATCTTCATTCTACACCTGACTTCCAGCTCTGTATGGGCTTTAATACGGTTTTCGACCACTTTGATGATAGTGAACTTCTCGTGTGTTGTACTACCGCGGGCACGGTAGATCACCTTCTTGCCCAAACGGAATTTGGGTGTCATCTCACTGGACGAGGAATTGTTGATTTTGGCCAAAACTTTGATAGTTTCACCTATGAGGAAAACAACATATTTTAACATGTATTGTTCATTTTGTATTCATTGCCGCATAGAACAATGCACTGTGCTAAAGAGTGTGTCTCATATGAAGGCAGTTTATTGTTATGCCTGTGAGACACAACTTATCCACTTTATATCAACAGAGTTAAAAGGCTAAACCCCACCCACTTGTTATTTTATTCATGCTACCTTTGTCTGATCAATTCCTTAAATCAGAGGGATTAGGCTACTTCCTTCAAATTACTTTAATCAAAACATTATTTTTAGCAACACTTTTTTTTTTTACTAAAACCATCACTGACAACAGACTAATGACTGATGGCGGACATGCTTTTCCTGGAATTACAAACCTACCTAGTTCCCTGAATATTGTTCTTGTTGGCAATAGTAACACTTAGGATGTGACAATTCAACTATAATATCACCAGTACTTTGTTTTATTAAAAATAATTCCCTGTTTTGCATGTCTGTGATGAATGGTTTTTGGCATTTATCATAGAGAGGAACACTTTTCATGACTTGAACCACCCTGTTTGAAGGAGATTGTTTATTACCTGGGGCGTAGGCCATCCTGTCAATCGAGACTTCCATGTCTGCTTGTCCTTTGGAGAAAAGTCCCATCTCTTTCTTTGTTGCACCAATTTGGGGCAACTAGAACACAATAAACAGAGAGAATTATTACTTTTGATCCACTTCCAATACATTGCATGACTTAGTGTTTCAGTCCTTTGGGACGAGGACTGTGTGTCACTCACATTTCCTGTGAATATTATTGTTTACTGTACACACACACATATGTCATTACTGTACATGGTGAGCAATTTCAACTGGAAAATATTTATACTGAAGAACTTACGTAAAAACGTTGCAAAAACATTTTAATTGAGATTAGAGCAGGACCAATTTAAAATCCCATTTCCAGATGACATTTATCAAAGCAGAAGTTTTGACTTATCATGTGAAGCTCATGCCATTTACGATAGCTCTTTTCTATATATGTGTCTTAGTAAGCCAAACCAGTGAGCAAGCTTGCTGTGCACAATAGCTTGAACCTGGAACCCTCCAAATTAAGTGCATCACTATTGTTGGGTAGTGGTGGAATGTATAATCATAGTTGGATATCCCTAAACTGTAGGACTAGCTACATGTCTAGATATTGTAAGGAATAACATAGAATGTGGTGTAATACCTATATTTTGATTTGATCTTCTCTGTTTCACCCCCCGATGACAAATGCTGTGTTCGAGAAAATGACTGTCGACTGTGACATCTTTTCAGTACCGATGCCAATAACAACACCTGATATTTGTGTATCTATGTATCACTTTTTTACACACCATCAGAGAATGAAGGTTGGGATAACATCTGGAGACAAACAGTATTTTCTGTTCCACTGATTGGTCCATCTTCCAACTCCTGGACAACTTGGCTTCCAGCTTGTAGACAATATTTCCATGAGGTCCCTTGAACGATGAAGGCATGCTTCTGAAATAGAGAACAAGCCGAATAATTGTTATATAATCTGAAATGAATTAACATCAATAATTTAAATTGAATCAAATTCAGTTATGTGCTGAGATTGGCTATGTGTTCCTGTTTGCAAAGAAAAACACGGTGAAAGTGCAAATATCCTGTCTTGGTTGATTGTCTTGTGCGCTTACCCTTGTGGAATCTTTAAGCTGAATTTGTAGACATGGATTCCTTGGGGAAGTACAGTGTCTAAAAGGAAAATGGATTTTAGTGTTAATATTTATATATTTATCCATGAAATGCTTGCTTTACATTTTATTATTACATAATAGGGCAAAGTTCTAATGTTGCCCTATTATGTAATCGTCATAGTTAAAATGTGCTCCTGATTAACCAACTATGTAATTTTACATATTCCATGTTTTTAAATTAAGTTAAACTACCTTTAATTATATTGTTTTAATATTGTGTTATTACCAATTTTGTATAGCTATGAAGGCATCTAGTCCTAAATAAGGTAACTATTACAGGTGACTTTTGTAAATGTTAGATGTTACATATAGCCTATATTGCAGCTAAACAACAATGCAGTTCATAGCTTTGACATTACCTGTTATGAACAATAATATATATATAGTTTTGTGGTAACGTTCACGCCACTAATGACAATAGTGTACAGTAGGCATACTGCTGCTGTGAGTTGTAAGCCTAAGACTCTAACCCGTGAACGTTACCACAAAACTATAGGCAATATTATTGTTCATAACAGGTCATGTCAAAGCTATGAACTGCATTGTTGTTTAGCTGCAATATAGGCTATATGTAACATCTAACATTTACAAAAGTCACCTGTAATAGTTACCTTATGTAGCTGACGCTCAAAGGTCCCTTATTATTGTTTTGTCCTTTTTGAAGAGTGTTTAATGTATGCTTGAACTTTGTTTTATTTTGTAAAAATGATAAGAGTTGTCTTTCCGGAAGTCATGTGACCTCTTGCCCCGGATGTTTATATTGTGTTTGTGTGCGTTAAAAGTGTCAACGATGTGATAACGCAGGCATCCTCAAAGTCCGGACTCCGGTCCGGATCCGGACCGAACCACAACTGTCTC